CAGTTGCAAAAATGAGGGCCAAGAGCCGTTATAAAATAAAATGAGTGAAACTCATGAAACTGAAGTGGTTTATGAAATCAGTTTCAGGTTATTTTCCAAATCAGTGGTTCCTAGAATGTTTATTTTATTCTGTCTTAAACGATGAAATAACAAGTGGGAAGTATTCTGTCCAATTTGCAGTCAAGAGAGACCAACCTAGAATAAAACAGAGTATCTTTTTATTAAAGGTAAGAATTAGTCATTTTTGTCTTCTTTTGGAGCTTAAGTGTAAGGAAAAATGCCTTGATATTGTTCCTAAAGTGTGGGAAAACGTGAATATATTTTTTCACAAGTGTATAAATGCTAAAATAATGAAACTATTCAAGTCTCCTTGACGTTCTTCTCACTACCTGAAATATATTGCCAAAATAATGCTCAAAGAAAACTAACAGTCGGAAAAAAAAAAAAAAAAAAAGTGTAGAGCCTCAGCAAATGAGAAAACTCAAAAGCTCAGCATTTCCTGCCCAATCTCATTGTTTTTCACACTTATTTTCTTTTCCCTCTTACAAATGTACAAGTGAAAGGATTGGTGGTAGGTCGTTTGAAAATGGAGCTTGGTTGCGCTGCTTCAGTTCTCCCGGAATTTACTTGGTGATGGATAAGAATGAAAGGGTGTGAAATAATTCCTTGGTGCTTCTTTAGCCTTGCCTTCAGCTCCAGCTTGGTACTGCAGTTTGCTTCCAGCTGTTTCCTACCCGAAGTAAAAATGGTTCTGGCCACGTGCTGCCTGTGTTTCTGTCAAGCGGGGTCAGAAACTGGTGTTGCAAAGACACTATAATGCTCTCTGCCTCCTGGAAATTCCTTTCTACAATGAGCCATCCTTAAAGGCCAGCTGTGCCCAACCATACAGCTGTTTCACACAAAAATCATAGCTTAACGCTGCTGGTGTCGAGGCCAAGAATCAGATCATATAAATTTCTTAAAGGTGAATGCTGTGGTAGAATCTGAACTTTTTTTTTTTTTTTTATATGACCAAGATTATAGATAATATAATAAAAAATAATTACTTTGTAGGTGACAATAAGCTTTACGTTTTTAGGTAGCTAATGCCACATTTACTACTATTCTTTTATGTTTGTCTTCCAGTTAACCAGTGCAGTGAGCAGCCTAATCTCCAGCAGGAAATTACACATTTCATTATTCCTTATAGTAAAGGAAAGCCTTTTATTTACAGCAAGCATTAGTTTTGTAGTCACAGCGACGGAATTCCTATCTTAGCAGTGCATCAAGGCTTTCCTTCCCTCCTTGTAATAGTCATCCCTGAAATTATCTCTGCTGTCAGACCCGAGCATAGGGTGTATCTGTCAGGGTTTGCAAGAAGTCTCTCGCCCACAGATTCTCTCTCCAGACAGATGTAACAGAAGAGACGCAAAGTTCATAAGAAGTTTGCTTGTCTTACAAGGCTGTAGTCAGTCAGTTCCAATTATTACCTGCTAATTTCACATGATTGTGGTTGACACTGCGGTATTGCAACCATACCCAATTATTATATCATTTTACAGATCACTTTTTTTGAGAGATGCCCACCTGAGTCCATTTCGTAGTGTCATTTTCCTTCTGAAGTGCCGGCGTTCCATCACCTTCAAGCAAGTGATGTTCTCCAAAGAGAAAATTTCAGATATTGTCTCTGAAATTCTGCGTGTTAGACGTGCACAGAATCGGGTGGACAATTAGATAAATTAAAAGAGAACCGTGTCATTTTTATGGTTGAACGTAGGCTACGCCCTGAGCAAAAGTAACTAATCGGAAACCTGAAGGCAGAGAGTGCTGTAGGTTGTGTAGTTACAGCAAACCGGTCTTTTGTCAGTTCTAGACAGCGGAGTGTGACTGTGACTGAGTTTGGATTGCTGTACTTTAACTATAAAGTATGAATAAATGGGCACAAGCAATTATTTTATTAGCAAAAGTTCAGGATCATTCTCTAATGTTAGCATCTCAACTTTTGGATATGAAGTCACTGTTAAGGCTAGAAGAGACAGAAATCACACGTATTTTAACGAGACAAAAGCATTTATTTTTATTAAATTCGATGTGAATTTTATAAGATTGCTTTTAGTGTTAATGAAAATGAAGGATTAGCCGTCCTAAATTATGAGACATGGAGAGAAATTCATAACTGTTTCTGTGAATATTTCTGTTTGAGCTGCCATGGAACAAAGCTCAATTTTTCTTTTATATTGCATGGATTTGTGATCTTCTAAATGGAGGAAAATAGATGAGAGCACTGAACTCACTTTTTAATGTGGTACGTCAGAGAAAACTGAGCCTAATTCATTATGATTTATAAACAGATGCTGCTGCATCTTGTTTGTGTATTTATGTACTGATACATTTTAAGAAATGATTGCCCTTTTGGCAGTGATTGCACATAATTATTCGTAAAAAAAAGATCCTATTATGTAGGCACCTAAAATTGTTAGTCACCTCTGAAAACACTGCTCTACAGTTCCCACTCCCACCTCCGAATTCCCACCAAGCCTTCTCCCACCTCCCCAGTGTCATGCAGGAACAGCAGCCAGGGAGGTGGAGTCATGCAGTACTTTCTAATTGCCAACACTGAATAAATTCACATCCACTTAGATCTGTGAAAACCTGACAGATTGTGCTTGTACGGTTGAGGTTGGACTGTCTCTTCCATCTCAAAATTTCGCTTTGTTCTCGAGCTGGAACAAAGTTTTTCAAAATGGGAAATAGTCTGTTTTCCTTGAGGAAAAATTCGTAAGGGCACACAAAATGCTCTCCCAAGTCCAAATAGTCTTAGTGTGCGCATCGAGTATTTCGCACTGGTCTACAACAATATTTCTAACCGGTGGTTCAGCAGGTCAGCTGAAGACATAAGGCAAAAAACCCCTAGAGCAGTATCAGCACAGTTAATCTTTTGTAAACAGCTTTCCTTAGCGCAGTGAGAACTTCAGATTCTTGCACAAAAAGACAAGTCCTTACTAAACTGTAAAAAAGGGAGTTTTCTTACTGCTTGTCAAGCACTGCAGTAATTTTGAAGGACTGAAGATCATTAAAAGAAAAATACTTGTTTTTCATGTATCACGGATCCATAAAGTGAGCGCAGATATAGTAATGGATGCTAGTTTACTGAATTTAAATTAGCAAAATCCCAACTTAGCTCGACAACTTCAATAAAATATGTTAACCTGTAAACAATAGCTGTTTGTCGCTGTCATGATTTCAGCGCACCTGCAGTATTTAGCTGTTATACAAGTGCTAAAGCTTTTCAGAAATGCCCGTGTAGCAGTCAACCCCTTCCTTTCCTCAGCGGCGTGGGATTTTAGGCCGTGAGCGTGTCTGGCAGGTATGTGACAGTGTGATAAAACTGCTGCCGACCTGCCCCAGCTACCCAGCAAAGCCCTTCGGAGGGCACCGTCCCTGATGGGGGCTTGGCCGTTGGGATGATCCCGTCAACTAAACCGGAGGTGAAAGTACAGTCTGCGGGGGTTGGCACATCCCTAGCTTAATTTCTGTTCCTTTCTGGTGTTTCTCTTGTGATTCAGCTGGTTTCTGAAGCTGCATTAATCACATAAACAGGCATTCCCACGTTTGGTTAAAAGTACGGAGCTATTCGAGGTAACTTCCAGTGCTTTTCTTCTGGATCTAATGTTTGCTACTTATCTTGTTGACCCTAACATATTGTACTTATACACGAGCTAAATTCTTGAACTGGTGCATTCTCGCAAGATGTTAATTGTATCGGGTTTCATACAACTTTTTGTAGGGGGTGAAAAAGGATGATGACGTGTGTATTCTATGACAACGCAACCCTGAGGTGGGGCAGCAGCTGCCTTGGGTCACACCGATGGTCAGTCCTCTGACTTCAGCGGTGTCTGTGGTGGTGAGAATTTCGTCAGAAGATGGTTACTTCCAGGATTTAAAATAAAAAAAAAAAACAAAAACAACAAAACAACTGTTACAGTTCAGTTTACCGAGACCATTAGGGTTATAGTAAAGTTTTCTGAAGAGCAAGTTTTATTACGGGAACAATAAATGCGCTTTAACTTACACAATTTCGCTTCACTCCTGAGCTGAAATTGATAAAAGCGTGAGAAAGAAATGTGAGAATAAAGGGTTAAATACCTTCGTATTGAAAAGAAGTTATACACGTTTCACATAAAATGAAGGGCTCCTGATGACGTGGTACGGCTGTGATCAGCTCACTTAATTTTGAGAGAAACTTGGGTTCAGCATAAGCTTTGACCTTTTTCTCGCTCTCAATTTCACTACAAAATAAAACCTCGGACATTTATTATTGAAAAATGTTGAGAGTCGTAAAGACAGAGCGCGGTTTGAGTGAGCAAATGTCAGCATGAACAGACTGTGAGATGTGTGTTCCTCCATGTTAATGACCTAAAAAACGTCATTAGTTAAATATACTTTTTTTTCCATCAGCCTGAAGTTGAGGGACAGAGCTCAAAGGAACAGTGTCTTGAAGGGGGGATGTTTGCTCAAACGGAGAAAGTCTGTGTATACTCAGCATAATTTAATTTTTTTTTCTTGAAAAAAGCAGGTGTGATCTTGTGTAAGACAGCTTGTAGCAAAAGGAGGAAGTTTAGGGATGAGTGATTTATCCTCCTGCTTATCTGTTCTTGGATTTCCGCATCTGAACCGTGATTTTGTTTGTGCAGGGTTAAGCCCCGTGGCCTTGAGCTTCTGGGGGAGGGTCTGCACAGCCACCCAAACCCATGAACTGGCTCTTCCTAAGAGTCATTCAGAGACCTCTGGGGAAGGGTTAACGGATGGACTTTCCCTCTTGGCATTGCCTATGGAAGGGAGCTGTGGAAGATGGCTGCGTGGCAGCTCTTCTTCTGACAGCACTGCTGCAAAAAAAAAAAAGGTTAAAAAGTCTTTTTCCACCTAATTATTGATGCTTGCCTAATTAGCGAAGGTTGATGCAGCGTTGTTTTTTTTTTTTCTTTTCTTTTCTCTTCTTCCCCGTCCCCTCTCCGTTACAGATATACGTGGACTGCAGGGATTTCTCGATCAGGCCTCGAGACTGGGACTTGATGTATCCTTGCAAAAAGTGGACAGGAACATCAGCAGAGTCTTTGCCAACCTTTTCACTACCATGAAAACAGAAGAGCTGAACCGCTATCGGGACACGTTGCGGAGGGCTATCTTGCTCCTAAGCCCCCGAGGAGCCCAGACTTTTATTAATGAGGTCAGTGCACAAGTTGTTTTTACCATCAACATTTCAGAACCGTGTATGATGACTTTTGTGATGCCTTGCCACGTTTTCTAAGTGGTGCATTTTGACAAAGCTGGTTGGTAAATGTCAATAAGATTGTCAGACTCCAGTGCCGGAGAACTGAGATATCAGTGACGCCATGTGATACATGCTTGTGGTTAATGCAAATGTGACCACATGGGCCAGATGGGCACTTTCAATATAATATACATCTCTCTGGGGCAATTCTTTTCTTCTGGTTGTCTTCCATACCAATATTTTAGACCTGGATTTCAACCACTGTTGACAAGTGACCAGAAAATCTCCTATCGTCTATAAGAAATTAATCATAATGTGCCTGCGTCGTCTTTGTTGTGCAGATCTCCAAATTCATGTTAAAAGGGCATGTTATTGATGTTTGAAAGCTGAATCACAAAGTTGTGGGGTTTTTTTAATCAAGTATGAAGTAAGAATTATATGAGTGTCCTCTTTTCTTAATGGTTTCTTGAAATTAACGAGGCTAATTAGAACAGGGAGGTAGCTGTTGGGCAAGCTTGTAATTAATGTTGTGCTGTGGGCTAGTTTTTTGGCATTAATGAGTTTTATCCATTTTTTTTAAATATTAAATAATGGATTTTGAACAGTGCTTTGTATGTCAGAGTTGAGAACGAGAGTTGGATCCTCCATCAGTTTGTGTATTCATTAGCTGATAATTTGGCAATGAAATAAGTTGTTGTTTTTTTTTTTTAACTTCTATTTTTAAATAACCAGGGATCAGATTGAACCAAGAAATTAAAACCTGTTTCCAATTATCAGTTTTGCTGCATGAAAGCCTGTTAAATTTTTTAAAAATTCAACTTAATTTAGCTCGTTAAGTTTTTTTATCATATCAGCATAAGTAAATTCTCCACATTCATGTTCGTTGGTGATTTTTAAATTAGTAGGGTAAATTTTATCATAAATAAATGAGGCAAATGGGTAGCTTGGGAAAGACTTAAGCACAGGGGCAAATTCTACTTGTGTTTGTGCCTACAAAGGGATTTTCAGTAGAGGAGTGAGGGAGTAGTAGTAAGCTACACACAGCTCAGTCAGCCGTTTTATTTGTTTCATAGTAAGCCTCCAGCAAAAACACACGTTGCTCAGTTTTCTTAGCGAGTCCAAACCAGGTATTAAAAAGAAATTGACATGTGCATTTATTCAGAGCCACGCTGGGTAGAACGTTTGTCCTCCTTCAGTGCACAAGGCTCCAGAAATGTTTGTAAGAGTTATGTGCATGCACTGTCAGGACCCTGCGGGTCTCTGGAGTGTAGGGGCTAATGTATTAAACTGTTTTACTACTCACTTCACCTTAAAGCAGTGTGTATTATAGGCATTAAGGCTAACGATCTTGATATATTTCCAGATCCCTGCAGGAGTTTAACTGTGGGCAGAAATGAAAAGTAATTTATTTGGCAATCTTCCTATATTGAATCTTGATTGATTCAGAAAAGCTTTATAAAAGAAAATTTAAATCGAAGAAAGGAATTCTCAAAAGGCAGGAGATGTGAGGTGCGCGGTGTACGGAAGAATCCTTTGCTGGTGGAGGTTTGGCTTACGTTTTGTGGAGAGTTACAATAGCCGTGATTCCTCAGTATCTCAGTCAATAAGTGCAAGTAATTATCTACAGGAAAATTTCAGACAGGCTAGAATAACAATTTTCAGCTTAAAGGAAATATGTATTCTTACGTGATTTACAGAAATATATAAATGACGATGTGCAGCAGTAAGCGCCTTCGATGGGTTTTCATATTTCATGTTATAGGTCCTACAGAGCATTATAGTGACTGGTATTGTCACCAGCCTGGCTCTGCACCTTCGAAGTTGAGGTTTTGAAACAATTTCCCTTCTCAGTTTTTGGGGAAAAAAAAGCTAGGTCTCTAAAAAAATGTAAGTAGTAACCCGAGAAGAACATTCAAAGGCTTTATTTTTCAATTCTGGGTGTATTTATCATCATCTTTTCTATTTTACCTCGAGTTACAAATAAGAAATTAAGAACAAAGAGAGGAAATTGGATTTTAATCTTTGTTTCCATGGATTCCTGGAAGTAGAAAGTTTCATGTGAAAAAGAGGTTCCTTATTAAGATTTTCCGTTTTGCTGAGTTGATCTTTTGTAGCAGGGGAAAAATATCTGAAAAACTCCAGTGAGATCTTATTAAAGTCTGTTGGCTGGTAGCATCTTCATAAAAACCAGGTGTTACACACAACCCCCCCTGTGGCACGCAGAAGAAAACCAAGAGACTTCCCTGGACAGTGTCTGGATTATGAACCCTAATATGAATGGCTTTAACAAATTTCTCTCAGCACAAGTCTCAGACATCAGCCGTTGGCAGCTGGTACAAGATTTATTTTGCCTGTTTCAATACTGCAGGTGATACATTTTTCCTGCTAAAAATACGGATTGAGATTTCAGCCTCATTTATCATCTTTTCGGTAGGTTGGAGAGATCTCATCTGACTTTAGATGCACAGAGTTAGGGGACTCTGACACCTCACGCATGAAGAACTTTCTAAGTCCTACAACAACTCAATTTTAGGATTATTTCTTTAATTTTTCTTTAGGCATCATTTTCACTTTACTGACTTAGCATCCTCAATTCCTGGTTCTGTCATGTGTCAAAGTTACTGCAGCAGAAATTACTGACATTTCATAAATTTTCGAGATTTATTATTCTGCTATAAAACTACTTTGACTGTAAGAATAGAGGGAAAGAGGAAAAAATATCTCTTCAACGGTATAGATATAAACATGGAATCGTCCTTTATTCAGAAAACAGAAGGTAAATTTATTTATAAAATGTTAGCTACTCTAGGGTTTGCATTCAAAGGTCACTTTGGGATTAAAGGAACTCTAAAGAAAGTCTGTCCCTCCTTAATCATTGTGAGTAGAATGTTCCCTTCTCCACCTGCAAAAATCCCTGATATATGTGGCCTTAGTGCTGTTACTCAGTTTATATGCAAAACCGGTCTCAATTGTAGCCCGTATGCACGTAACAGCAAAAATGAGAGTGTATTCTGAAGACTGTGTGATGTCCTTGCAAGGCAATATATATATATAAAAGAAAGGAAAAGAAGAAAAACTAGCAATTCAGAAATGGGAAGGTGATTTATTACTTTCAGCTATTCTGTTAGTCTCTTTGGCCCAGACACAGGATCTGAGACTCAAAATGCTCCCTCCTTGTGACGGGAGGTTTCACTTGCCTCTTCCACTTAACAACGGAGACATTTTTTTGTTTGTTTGTTTTCAAGTAGAGGTATATTTGTGTGGCTTGCTTTTATCATTAAGGGCTCTACACTGCGTAGTGCCATGGATACATGGAAAACAGGTCAAAGAGAGGTGACAAAAACGATGAAAGGATTGGAGAGCACGACCTATGAGGGCCGGTCTCGGGAACACGCTGTATAGAGCCGAACTGAGTAATACTTGAGAAGAAACACGAGAGGAAGAGGAGGAGGAATTATCTAAGGGGATCATGGGTGGTCTACTGGTCTGGTAGACTGGGAATGCTTTCTGACTGGGAGGTCAATGAGGCAATGTTGCCTCTTGGCACGAGAGGTCGGTGAGGCCTCGTCCTTCAGGGTGTGTGGGAGCTCACTAGATCAAACACTGCGGTAACAGTCTAGCAGTCTTTCCTGAACTAGTCTGAAGGATGTTTTGGATGACCCAGGAGTTGTTCTGAAGACGTATCAGGAAACATTTGTTGTGTGAATCAATTCGGATTGCGTGCGTTTTGTACGTAACATACTTGAAGAGGAGGAAGAGAGCTTGTAGGTTAGATTCTCAAGTTTCCTATTGCGGATATGCAGTAACTCAGTGAGATTTTTTTCTTTAAAGCTATGGGTGATATCGGTTGCTTCATAGACTTCAATCATCCTACTTTCCGGCATTATTACCTTTACTTTTGAAAAAGCAGTAAAATGGGGGCTGTAGCGCAGTTGCATGTGGTTGTTGATTTGAAAAGAGAAGGAATTCTTGGCTTTTAACTCCGCGTTACTTGTTTTGTGGCAGCTTCACCAAAGTGCAAAGTGTTTCTCTTTAGGTGTGTCTGATACAATTACTCGTGAGTCCGTCTTGCTGATAACCTAGTAAGCTCACTGCTAGTGTATATGCACATCACTGCAGCGTAGCAGCTGAAGGCAGAGCTCTTCGCGTGACTAGGATAGTAAAACCATCTAAGAATAGAAGATGGCAGATGAATCACATTGAAAATTAATGCTAAAACCCCGTATCATTGCAGCAGGGTTATCTGAATGGGTGCAATTCCAATCTGAGCTGAAGCTATAAACTTCTGGAATAATACTAAGTTTGTTAAACAGTTGTAATTTATCTCTGTCCTGTTTCTCTAGTCCTCACTGGAAAGCACAGACTGCTGTTTCTCTTTTACCCTACTTCATGTCAAATATTCTGACTGGTTCTTTTAAAAAAAACCCCAAACAACTCCCACAGATATTCTGCCTTTGGTTTAGGCTTTTGGGATCATTTCACAACTGGCCGGTGGCCTTCCTTCACTCCTGGCCGTTACGGACGTGGAGTACCTTACTCCCAGAGCACTCCCAGTTGGCAGTTGTTTGTGAACACTGGTCCAGACTCCTCTCCTTCCCCTCTGCAGTTGGTGACAAGCTATTACCTGACTGGAGCTGCAGGAATTATTTATGGCATCTTGAACAGTCTGCACCCACAAGCAATTGCATGAATTGTTTTTTTCCGAGGAATCAGCGACCTTTACTTTTCAGAATTTAGCAGGGAAAAAAGTTTAATACTAATTTTCTCGCACTTGGCAGTTCATATTGGCATACGTGTCTTTTTTATTTATGTTGCAAATGTTCAGCATATTAGTCCACAGCTCTGTTTTGTGTGCGGTATATAAACACCTTGGAATATTGGTGAATAATTTTGGGAAAGCATATACCCCTTCTGGCTTTAGAAGGTAATTTCCTTGTTTAAAGAGCTGGTACTGA